TCTAATAATTGTAACTCTGTTGACATATCTGGTGCCAAGGCCCCAGTAAACAGACCATTTTCATCGCTCATTCATGCCTCTTACACAGTCACTTTCAAGGTGAATTCACGGTGCAGATATTCGGTTTAAAAGACACCAGTCATGTTAAAGCCTGTCGAGTAACGACACTCACCTCCTCCGACAGGCTGCAACAAGGCGTGATGCTGTCATTAAGACTACCACAGAGGCTATCCAACGAGCTTCAGCACGCTCGATGTCAACGTCGCACACACGCACGTACACACACACACACACCATCAGTACATCGCGTGCACGTCCTTCAAAATTCGCCGAGCATTACGCAGAGTTGAAAGTGAGATAAGTGCCTATTAATTAGCCAAAGTCGACTCGCGTTTAATAAGAGACGTCAACAGATTCAAACGCTCAAGTGACTTTTGAGTACTTACAATCAACCTCTATCTAACCACTTTTAACTAAACTTTGAGCTCACGTCGTCATAGGAATTCACATCTGAAAATCGTGTTTCTTTAACCAAAAAGATATTTTTATACTGTTGTTATTGTTTGTCTTTTATGGTTACTGCATTCGTATCCGATTTTGAGGGAAAGATTGTACTTTTCCCTCAATAAATAAATAAAAAATAAATGAAATAGGATTAGTCATGCTATTCTTGTGGGACTTTCTGCATCATAAAATTTAAAAATTTCTCGTTATTTACCTGGCGTATAGCAACATTACTGTCGATAGAGTGAGAATTCTTACTAGAAATACCTTTCCACATTCCAAACCCTCTACGGCTAAACGATATAAAATGAAGGCGAAAAAACTCCTAACGGTGTACCCATTAATGTAATACAATTTGATTTTGGATCACTTCCAAATGGCTGTCCATTAAACTGGTGAAAAATTGAATATTTTAACCCGTTAAATTTTCGATTTGCTCAATTTCGGACCATGTGGGCGAAACTCGTAGACTTCACTCCTCGCGAAATTTCCCATCGATCACTGATTTTCTAATATCGTGTTTTTTGGTATTTTAAAAATTGCCTTCACTATGTTAATGTCAATCCTTCCTAGTGGATTTTTTGTGTGTTCTGGATTGCATACAGATATTTATTTATTTCAAATGACAGGCGTTATGATAGTTGTCGTTAGCCCCTTACCTGACTCCGGGCTTCATAGAGAGGAGGAGGAACATCAAAGTCACAATAAGTCGAGAGTGATTCACAGATGTAAAGAGACAGTCAGACACAAAGATAGATAAAAAGGTAAGGTAAGGTGAGTACTGTGAAAGTGGTAGAATATGACATACAATCGGGTGACGGTAGTTTGAAGTCAGAGGTCAACTACCGGTTTAGAGGCTTTTTTGCCGTATGGGTATACGCTGCCCAGGATGCACCACGTGAAGGTTAGTCTATTGCTTATCCCTCATACAGAAATCCTACTTTGGTTTCGGTGCTGTTTACATCATTTTTGATATGGTGTTACCGTAGTCTCTAAGTTGCTGGTTTCATAAAGGACTTATTATTCATCATTCTTTAACCTTAAAAGAATTCTCATCTCCTATTTCCATTGAATAATTTAGTCTTGGTCAATCAAAGTACAAAAACAACTCGGACAATCGGATACTCATTAGAAGACCGGATAAATTAAGTAAAATGATTTAACTCCTTCCTGGAATACTAGGCGTGTTCCATAAATACCTGCCCGTGGAGGTCATGGAACATTCGAAGCAACATCGTACAACTTTTACCTCATCGTGATGAAATAAGGTGGAATTTTAAATACAACACAAAAAAAAACCAGCGGTTATAAAAATTGCATATCTTGCATCAATCCATCACATTCAAATTTCTTAACAGATTACTAGAGGTGAAAATTCATGGTATTAATTTAATTTAATCTTTCTGCACTTAAATTCATTTGGTGATAAGTGTAAATCAGTTGGATTATTAATTTAGCCTATTAAAAATGCACTGTGCTATGCTATGTAAGCGTTGAGAATCAGGTGAAACAAAGGATAGATAATTAAATGAATGGTTTAGGAGAGTAGAGGATAGTCATTGGCTAATGACAAGGTAATTGCTCAGAGCTTGCATACAAAACTGATAACAAATGACGCTCGTGAAAACGATTATCATTTTGCCCATTCATGAGACCTAAATTTATTTATTTCAAATGTTGGGCGTTTTGAGAGCTATCATTAGCCATTTAGCTGACTTCGGGCTTTACAGATGGGAAGGTTTATCAAAGTAGCAGAAAGTCGAGGGGTGGGGAACAGAAGAGCGATTCACAGATGTAAAAGAGACAGAGAAAAAGGTAAGATGAGTATTGTGAAAGGGGTCGGATATGACAAGCAGTCGTGCCATGGTATTTTGAAGTCAGAAGTCAACTGCCAGTTAATAGACTTTTTTGTCGTGTGAGTATACGTTGCCCAGGGTGCACCACGTGGAGGTAAGTCTATCGCACACCCCATGAGACCTAAATGGATAGTACCATGGGAGATAGAATGGCTGGGGTTTAATGGAACTGGAAGTCATAGCTCCGTGGTTTTTTTTCTTCAAAAATCATTATTCGTTTGACAAACTTAGCACCTACAAAGCGATTCATATAATTGTACTATACGATCTAATCCGCTAAGGTGCCGAGAGTAAATATTTTTATTTTTTGAGAAAATCATCAGTGGCTTCTTCTCTGCATACTAATCAATTACTTCCTTACTCATTTATCTCATAAAGTGCGTTTAAAACACGGGTTTATCTCATGTTCCAACTTTAACTAGACAAATGCCTAAAAAGGTTAAACGTATTCGCTTTAAAATGCGGGAAAAAGTATTTTTCTTTGTCTCTAAATTCGTTGAGTTATCATTAGCCACAAATGCCTTCTTTAGACGCATCAATTCTATGAGCGATTAATTAATATTAGCTTTTCATTTCGAAAATCAGATACTGTTAAGGCGGGGTGTGCGATAGACTTACCTCCTCGTGGTCCGCCCTGGGCAACGTATACTCATGCGGCTAAAAGGTCTGTTAATCGGCAGTTGATTCTCACTTAAAACAACCATCACCCCCACCGTATGTCATGTTCGACCCCTACCATTACTCATCTTACCCTTACTGAGCCTTTGTGTCTGTTTCTTTTACATCTTTGAAACACCCTTCTATTCTCCCTCCTGAATTCACTGCTATTCCTCCTCCTGAATTCTTCTCACTTTGATGTTCCTCCATCTGTGAAACACCCTTCTATTCTCCCTCCTGAATTCTTCTCACTTTGATGTTCCTCCTCGCCTCTGTAAAGCCCGAAGTCAACTAAAGTCTAATGATAACTATCAAAACGCCTGCCGTTTGTTATAAACACTGTTAAGGCGATTGACACAAATGGGATTCGGTGAAGGAACACTAAAGGAGATGAGTAAAAGTAGGATGACTTAGACTAAACGTTGCCGACCCACAAGGATACATGAATCAGGCAAGAACAAAGTCAGACAATCAGAAGGCGAAGGTGAGCGTCGTGTCTTAGATAGCAGAAGATGCGCCTAGAAAGTCAGACACATTAGCCAAGAAATCAATTAATTATCGATTTTTTTTGGTCCAAACTCCTCCGCCCCCCCCCCCCCCCCCCCCCCGCCTTGAACTTTCTTAACACCCTATAATTGAGAAGTACCACTTTTGACTCATTCTTGCATTGATTTGTACTTTTAACTTCTCGTTCTCAAATGAGCAAAGCCAGAGTTTATGGAGTTCTGTTAACTCATTCCTATCTTCAAACCGATGGAGTGTGCGATAGACTTACCTCCACGTGATGTATCCTGGGCAACTTACACTCATACGGCGAAAAAGCCCATTAATCGGCAGTTGGCTTCTCCCTTCAAACTATCATGAACTCACTTTATGTCATATATCACCACTTCCATGGTCTTCGCCTTACCCTACTCTCGATCTTTGTGTCTGTCTCTTTTAGATCTTTGAAACACTCTTCTATTCCCTCCCCCTCTCGACATTTTTTCATTTCGATGTTCCTCACCCCTGTGAAGCCTGAAGTCAACTAAAGGGCTAATGATAACTATCAAAACGCCTACCATTTGATATAAATGAAAAATATCTTCAATTTGATTATATTTTACTTCACACATTCGATTTGAAACTTCTTGTTGTGAACTAAGCTTTTCATCACTTATTGCAACCTTTCCTCTGTACTTTTGTTCTAGAAATTGCAGACAAGGACAACGTATATTTTCCGTTACGAAATGGTTTGATTGTTTGATCAGTGTATAAGTAAAGTAATGAAATGACCCAATTATTAAGAATAAAAATAGAGTATTAATGATGCATCAAAGTTCCTGATGTGTGAATTACATTCATTATTAGTAAATCAAATGGCAGGCGTTTTGATTGTTATCATTAGCCCTTTAGTTGACTTCAGTCTTCACAGGGAGGAGGGAACATCAAAGTGTAAAAAATTCAAGAGGGGGGGGGGAAACAGAAGAGTGTATCAAAGACGAAGGTAGATAAGGTGGGAAAAAGGTGGGATGAGTACTGTGAAAGTAGTCGAATATAACATACAGTGGGGTCATGGTAGTTTGAAGTCAACTGCCAGGTAATGGACTTTTTTGCCGTATGAGTATACGTTGCCCAGGGTGCACCACGTGGAGGTAAGCTTATAACACACCCCTGAATTACATTCATAAAGTCTTATGAAAAAAAGTAATTAAGAACATTCTCGAATTCTTGTCTATTTAAGTATTGGAAAGCAAGGCTGAAAATCAATCTCTTTGAAGAGAACGATTTCATCGATTTATTACCACTTGAAGATTATTTTATCGAACGATTCTGTGCTACTAAAAGACTTTTAAATTACTTCTCAACAAATTCGTAGAGATTGGGCAACAATTTTCAATTCACTTAGTATATAGACATCATTGCGTTATAATATACAGAATCATTGATACAATCATTCAACTCGGGAAAAAACTGTCCGTGACTTGGGGGAGGGGGGGGGGCTTATAGCCACCATTCCCTTTTCGTTCGAGCATCAGGTAGATCTGTGTTTGCAGCTGCCAAAGCTTCATCCACAGTGCTAACATTATCCGCAGCAATCTTGGCTTCTTTGGTGCGATAATTGCCCTTCTTGAAGGTGAATTTTCGACAGCAGACAATGAAGATGGCCAAGATTGTGAGGACTAGCAGGCTACCCACAACTAAAATAAATGAAAAGAAATGAATCAGAAATACAAGTCTTTTGTTTTGCCTTAGTCACCACCTCGAGTAGGAGTAATTTTTTGGTATTTCCTGAATTATGCTTATTCTGGGTCCTCATTCCCTTAAGCAACCTCGGCAATTGACTTCTCACTTCATACTACCATGACCATACTATATGTCATATTCAACCAATTCTACAGTACTCACCTTACCCTACTCTCTACCTTTGTGTCTGTCTCCCATTCTACAACTGTGAATCACTCTTCTGTTCCTAACCCCCCCCCCTCGACTTTTGTAACCTTGATATTCCTCCTCCCTGTGAAACCAGGAGTCAACCAAATGGTTAATGATAACTATCATAAAGCCTGCCAATTGATATTAATTTATTAATTAATTAGTTAGTTAATTATACAACTGTCTGCTGAAATTTTTTGAGATGTTATTTTTAAACGAATTATCAATATGTGGAAAATGTGCGTATTATTAATTTGAGTCTATTAGCTTATTTCGTTATTTTTTCAATTGAAAGAGACTCAAGGTATTGCGGGTGAAATCATGTAGTGTAAACAAGTTTCTTATCGATTGAGCATGACAGTCATAGGTGCCAACTTTCGTAACAATTTTTGATAAACTTGCAAGCAGCGATTTGTCCTTGATAGGCACATTTAATAAATAAAATGGAGCTCAATTTTCTTCCAAACGGGCGAGATGAAAAGTTGAAATTACCAGACCGATTTAAATTCCTCATCTTTTAATTTTTTAATATGTAAAATTGATAAGTTACAAAAAGGAAGCTAGGTTTCAAAATCACTGGTTACTTACTTCCAAAAATCATTCGTTGTTGCCTTAGATCTTCTTCAGCACCAATGAGAGTTAGGTTTGTGGGGAAGGGAATAGGTGGTCGAATTTCAATTGGTTCAGGCTCAGGAAGAATCTCCTCAAAACCGCATTTGTTTTCGGTCACGGCACCTGAAATCGATTTCAAATTCACAAACATTAAAATGACGGCGGAAAAATCCCAAATTTTATCCAATAATACCTTCAGGTTCAATATAGACGTTAGGATTCCGTGGGTCCTCGAAAACCATACGAAGAGGGAAAAGATTATTCCATTGAGCCCCATACATACATCCGTCGAAGCCTTCCCCTTGTTGCATTGAATCGTTTCTGCCAAGATAGAGGAACCTCGGCTTATCTAACCTGGTATCTGCAGTATCTGAGAGAATTGGGCGAAAATCTTTTACAACTTCGGGATATTCGTCCACCTAAAATGGACGAAACCAGTTTTGTCATCTACTTATTATAATTCAGTAGTTGAAAATATTATACTCTACAAGACAAATCATTTTCTCTGTTTTAAAGACTTATTTACTTTAATAAAACCGGGGTGTGCGATAGACTTACCTCCACGTGGTGCACCCTGGGCAACGTATATTCATACGGCAAAAAATTCTATTGACTGGCAGTTGACTTCTCACTTCAAACTACCATCACCCCCAATGAATGTCATATTCTACCACTTCACAGTACTCACCTGACCTTTTTTCTACCTTCGCCTTTGAAACACTCTTCTGCCCCCCCCCTTCTCGACTTTTTTTCACTTTGATGTTCCTTCCCTCTGTGAAGCCTGAAGTCAACTAAAGGGCTAATGATAACCATCAAAACGCCTGCCATTGGAAATAAATAAATAAATACTTTAAAAAAACAATTTTTTAGAGATTTCATTCAGTCAAAATGGACGGATTTCTCTCAGATAACTGGAAATACCCCTGTATTTAAGTAACAACTCAACTCATCAGTGTATCGATTAAAGCTGACTTATGAAAAGTGATTACATCATCTTTGCTTAGATCAATCGGATTATAAAGGAAACAATTCAAGGACTTTGAGCTACTTTAAACGCACCTGTAAATGCCATACTTGGCCGATATTCGTTCGCCATGCCTTTATAGTATGATGTTGGCCACTAGAAAGGTCAACAATATAATCGGTTGTAACTTCGAATCGTCCAAATCCCACATCGAATTCAATGGTAATTCCTCCGTTGTTATTTATTCGGATGATAATGTAATTCTGTTTGCCCTCTCCCAGCATTTCCATCAGAATTCCACTTTTAGATTTCGATTTGAATCCAACGGTAATGTACTCCTCTAGAGTACCAAGGCTATCACCCATGCTTGAGAGATCGATTTTAATCATCGGACCGTTGCTAAATGTACCTCCAACTTCTACAGAACAAAAAGATGTAATAAAATATAATAAAAGTGGATTATTTACAGCCAGTAAGGGAAAGTAACTGGTATTTAACTGAATGCTTATGTGATTACTTAAAGTCAAAGTGCACTAAATATTTCTTAAAAATCGATTTTCTTTAAAAAATTTTTTTTCTAGATTTCTCTGTCTTTTTTTAGACTTCAAGTATCATCTTAGTAGTAGTCATACTGCATGTGAATAAGATATTGGCTTAATCGAATTGCTCACATGTAAATGCATGTTGAATTTAACTTAATTACCCTCTACCATAAAGGGAATGAAAGATGCATTTTTTGATAACAGGTGTTTAGGCTATCAACAGTGGCAGTATGACGTAGGTACTTAAATATACTTTAAGAGGTTCTTTTCTTGTCTGCATTTCACACATGCGAAAATCGCTTGCATATGATTTATAAGTATTGCAGAGGAGCAGATAATTGCAAGTGAACTTCAACTTTCTTTAATATCGTTTGACTTACCTCGACCGCAAATGAACCCACGATAGCGCGTTAAGCCGCATTCACAGTAGTAATGTGAGTAGAATTCAACACAAACGCCTCGATTTAAACAAGGATTATTAGCACATCTGGGTTGACAGCCAGCTCTCAACCCATACGTTGTCTCTCCTCTTTCCACAATCCCACGAATATCCTGGACAACTCCATTAATAAGAAGATTTGAAATGCAGCCAACATAGCCATCGGTAAATGCCTAAATAAAAGGAAAATTTTAAAAAACTATCTACTTATATAATTAAGTAGAGTTTTGTTTATTGCCTGTGTCGTTCCAACAAATAGGGGCTGGTCAAAGTTGAACATAAGGAAGGAACGTTCATTGGGTTCAACAAGAACTTGGGCAGGATTTGTATCAACGATCAAACGAGATTCTTTCCTGTTTCGTTCTAGTCTGACCACATGCCACTGATTATTATTTAGCCAATATGCGGTTGTCACTTCAAGGACCTGCAAACCATTACCAACATTGTAGGCAAATCGAAAAGCGATACCACCTAGAAATTGGGAAAAAACGATTTGAAAAGCGTAGATGAATCAAGTCAATTGAGGATTGCAAAACTTGCTTCTAATTCGCAATTCAAAGAAGTGTCCAGATTTTCGACCGACATTTTGCATCAGCACAGCATCTTTGATAGTGGTTTTGAATAGGAAACTCATATCAAATTCATATTCCGCAAAGACTGACGGTAGTTCTAGATTAGCATCGAGCTTCACGAAGGTTACTGTGTTGTCAAAAAACCGGTCTCCACTGCATCGCATCTCCTGGATACTGTACTCAGCACGTTTCTGATCGTTTAGTGTACCGGTATCACCAAAATGAACTTCCCAAACCGGCAGATCCTCCTAAATTTAACGGCATGTCTTTAAAGATTTCAACAAATAAATCAGCATAGTTGATTATACTCAAGTATATTTTGCGAATGTCTATCGATTAATTTTCAGGCATTCCAAATTAATCAATTTTAATGACTTTTATCCTGAATGGAAGGTATGGCTAAATGGTTTTACTTTTCTGGTTGTTATTAAATTTAATTATTGATAAATAAACTGGAGATCTTGCGTGTAGTTTCCACGTCAGATTATCGACTTTCTTACTAAGTTCGAATGTAAAGCAAAATAAGACATTACAATATGTCTTTAAGAGCGTTAAGGCTCTAATCTCATAACGAAAATTCATCTATAATTTTTAAAAGAATTTATTGGTCTCGTATAGAATGAAGATTTCATTTAAATTGTAAGCTATGTGCTAAATAATACAACGCAATTCGACTGAGTTACTGCAGTACCTGGAAAGTGAAAAAAAAGTTTTTTTATCTCACCTTAAAAGTAAGCAAACCGGTATCCACTAGAGGTGGGGCATCCGAACCATCACCATCACAATTACAGGTCATCGAATTGCCTGTACACGTTCCCCGTACTCCACAGTCGCACATTTTCAACCCAGGAACTCCACCTCCCCAGTAATAGCGAGGTCGTCCGCTTCTACTTACCCACCAACCCCAAGTTAGCTCCGTGCCGTCACCATAGCCTTGTGGTTTAGCAAGTAACTTCGAATTCCAACATCTATAAGCGACAGATTGCTCACAATACACGGCACGCCGCGTCAACTCTGCTAATGCAGCTCGAGAAGCTTTGCCATAGTTTAGAGTTCTTTTATACGATCCCGGATTTTGAAACCCATCCACTGGAAGAAAGTTTTCATCAGTGTGCTGAATTCTTGTCTCTGGGTTACTTCGATCTAATTAAAAATGGCGACAAAATTTATTGTACTTAAATAAAATAAGTAGGTCGTAAACTTGTAAAGTACGGTACCTGTAAAGTCGCAAAGAACTGTGAACGGGTCTAAAACTCCAGATCCGTCTAGATCAATAGTAACATTAAGTTGAGGTGCCATTTGTCCATAGAATAGACCAACTTCTGAACACGAAGTGAAATACTCGCTCTGATGACAAACAGCTCCCGAATAGCCTGTATTAGTGCAGTCGCAAAAGAAGGTTGCTCCGTTCTGCGTACAAGGAGCTTCGTGTTTGCAGGGATTTGGACTACATCGATCAGTGATGAGGCAGCTACCATTGACTATCTCACTTGATCGGCTTTCAGGGTCAAGCTGAGCCCAGACTAAGTCTTGAGCATTCACATTGATCCTTCTCATGCAGCCCTGAAAACTGAATTTTTGCGGTCGACCACCCCCTATGTAGTAAACTTTTTCAAAGTTAATCTAAAATGAATGAAAATTTATTACGCCACAAATTAGAGGCAATCTTAGGAAATCAAATACTGAGCATACGCTTTCTGTGAATGTCTGATTGTTGCTATATTCTCGGCCATCCACCACCGTCCGAACAGTCGTTTGACTCATTTCGAAATAAATCGAGTGCCAGAGACCATCAGCAAACGTTCCATTCAAGGCGGCCGAATCTTCATTTGGCATTGTGTAGCGGATTAAATTGACACCAGGCATAATTATTTCAACTATCAAGTGACCGAATGTATCTTCCATTTCAAGCTGTGTTAAAATAAATAAGCGAATTTAATGCACATTTGTAATCAAAAGCAGAATTTTGAATGATAAGATAGAAATTGTGCAACTCAAATCAAATAAGAGCGTAAATTTCCTAGTTAAAAAAAACAACATTTGTTGCAAGTTTATCGCATCAAAATTGCGATTTATCGATCCACTCCTGCATTCATTGGGAATTCTCGACCAATTCATAAAGACAAAGTGTGAATTCAAACCTGATACTAACAGGTTCTTTATTAAGTAGGCAGACAAAGGAAGCCATAAACTTTTTAGCTTCTAACTTAACAGTTTAATATAATTAAATGTGACCTACCCCCCCCCCCCCCCCCCCCCCCCCCACCCCCCTCCTCTTTAGTCAAAGCTTTGCGTTTGTAAATAAAATAAGAAAACTCTGCCCTATTGAGACGTCATCTGTATCTAATTTGAGATAGGAATGAAACTTAGGCTTTGTGGTTTGATGAAATTGAGTAGGTAATGCAGAAAGTGGTAAATGAATTGGGGAAGGGGGTAGTCGTTAGATTTCCCTCCACGTGGTGTTCCCTAGCCAACATTTACTCAAACGGCAAAATAGTCAACAAGCGGACAGTTGACGTCAATCTACTATGACCTCACTGTATGTGGTCATATTCGACCACTTCCACAGTACTCGCTCCTCTATTTCTCTACCATTTTCTCTGTCTCTTTTACATCTGTGATTCACTCTTCTGCTCCCCCTCCCCTCGACTTTTGTGACCTTAATATTCCTCCTCCCTGTGAAGTCCGAAGTCAACTAAAGAGGTCATGATAACTATCATAAAGCCTGCCATTCGATATAATTAAATAAAAAAAAAATAAAGTTAATGATTTTGATGTTCATGAAACTTCCACAACAGCAAAATACCTAGGACATACCGAGACAAAGTTCTTGTCATTATCCACTGAATGGTAGAATAGAGTCCCACCTTTATTAAACGTTCGAAAGTCCAACGAAAATGTCATTTTGCTGGTTTCACCAGACCTCTCAATTTTAATGAACACCAGTGATTGTTCGATTCGTGGAAAGGTGATAACTGTTGGATCAGCAACAGGTGGTAGACAATTCTGCTGCAACACTCCAGTCCCCCCAATCGCGAGATTGGTGATGTTGAGTTGCTGTGTTGTAGTCGGTGGACCCCACCATAATATTGGATCTCTTGGAGGGTAACCAAGCGCGTCTAGCCAATCCTCATTCGCCCAAACTGTTTCATTCATAATTAGACCGGGTTTGGAGCGAAGAACGTCTCGGATAACCTGTCAATAACGTGAATATTTAAGTTAAACCACTTCAAATTTTCAAAAAAGGAATGTTCATTTCTTCTCAAAAAAACTGTTTTTGTGTGTGCTTTATGCTGTATTTTGAAGAGTTTTAGAAGTCTTAATAATAGAAACTTGAAATTTCGCAAAAAAAACAATGTGATAGATGGCAGGCATCTTGATAGTTATCATTAGCACTTTAATTGACTTCAGGTTTCACAGAGGGGAAGGAACATCAAAGCAAAAAGAATCGAGAGGAAGAGGGGGGGGGAGGCGGGAACAGAAGAGTGTTTCAAAGATGTAAAAGAGACAGACACAAAGGCTCAGAAAGGGTAAGATGAGTACTGTGGTAGGGGTCGAATATGACATACAGTGGGGGTGGTGGTTGTTTGAAGTCAGATGTCAACTGCCGGTTAATAGACTATTTTGCCATATGATTATACGTTGGC